CATTTTGGGGCACCTCGGAGAGATGAAAACACGGCATCAGTTAACCATATATTATTTATGGCCTGACATGCAAGGGGATGTGTAGCAGCATGTGGTTTCGTGCAGAACCTGCCAAACCATGAAATCATTTAAGCAGAAGCCAGCTGGAAAATTGCAGCCGATTCCGCCACCTGAGCGTGCGTGGCTGCAGGCGACGATGGACTTCGTCACAGGACTGCCTGCCAAGGACAGCAGTAATAACGCGATATTTGTCAACGTCCATAAGGTGACAAAATATGGCCCACTTTGCCTCCTACAAGAAAAGTATCTCAGCTGAAGAAACAGCCCGCCTTTTCATCTCAGCCGTCGTTCGCCTCCACGGAATTCCATCTGCCATCATTTCGGATCATGACACGAATTTCACCTGTAATTTCTGGCGCAACCTCAGGGAATAGTTTGGCACTCGCCTGCAATTCTCTTTCACCTACCACCCGAAGACTGACGGACAGATCGAGCGGGCCAATCAGAGAATGGAGCAGCTGATTCGCGCAATCTGCGATGACGTGGCTGAATGGGAACGGCAACTACCAGTGATTGAGTTCGCGCATAATAACGCCCCATCAGCCACTACACGACAGTCGCCATTCTACCTGAATTACAGGTAGAACCCTACGGTATCGATCACGCCCAGCAGTGAAAATCTTGTACCTCGAGCCCAACAGTTCGTCGAAATATTACAAAATGTCTGGGAGCGAGCAGCCGAAGCCATTAAGCGCGCGAATGTTATTTTTAAGCGCAACGCCGGTCTACCGCGATGCCCACTAACTTACCAGGATGGAGATTTTGTACTGCTTGACACCCAGAACCATCGATTGCCGATCGTCCAAAAACTTCGCCCTCGCTAATATGGACCATTTACCATCAGCCACATGATATTTTCCGTTACATCCCATCTAATGTTACTGGCCACCTGGAATGTCAGCTCATCATTCCACGTGCGATTACTTCGACCATACATCGCCAGCACCAGCAGATAGCCACGTCACCGAGCGAATCCGAACATCTGACCGCTCGCCGAGCCTACTGTCATCGGATGAAGGACCCTCGAGGGCCTCGCCTGACCGAGTTTATGTTTTCTTGGAAGGATCGGACGGCCCTGGAAAATAATTGGGTGCCCCTAATACATATCGAGAATTGCTCGGTGTTACGAGTCTACCTCTAGTCACGCAATGTGCGCGACGTAGGCGGTCTTAGCTAAGCCCATACCGTGGAGGGGGGAGGGTGTAAGGAAATGGTATTTCCTTATCACGAGTTTTAGTTAATAAGGCGTACACGGCTATAACAGGGTTGCCACGTAGCTCTGCCATGAAATTCAAATTGCGGTACCCAAATGGGGTCTCCTAATGAGCCGCATGCATTTTTCCCGCCTAGCTGATTCATACCTAGATCTGGGCGCTTCGCGCCAATTTACGAACCACACGTTGCAGCTCTGCTGAGCCACGACCTTGTATTCTAGGCTAGCTATATCCATGCTCCCAGCTGTTTTGATGTGTCCTCAGTTGTATTCTTTCCTCGTTACTCAATCCTTCCTTCGACACACGCTTTTTGCGCTTCATTACAATTACCGTACACTACCAATTTTATGAGCACATTGCATTTGTGGTATTGGAGGCACTTGTGGGGCTGGGTTGTTCATCCGCACGTAGATACTTTTCGCCATGCGTCGCCATGCGTCGCCAAGGTTTACAGATCAGACGCGACTAGTGCAACGACTCCTAAGGCACATATTCATACAGGGCAATGATTCGGTATGCGCAACTCCCACGTACGCAGCATGTTAGATGTTCCACCAATAGTATAAGCGTATATAGTAAAAGTCGCAACATATGGCATTCACATTAATATGGTCAAGACCGCATCCCATTGGTCGGCGATCTCCACGATCCGCACTTGCCCTCCTTCCTGAACCATTGATGCGAAACTGATCCACATGATCCCCAATCAATGCTGACATTGCCTAGAAACCAACAGAAGGAAGCCAGCTAATTCCATTTGTTGTTTCCAAAATAGACAGGCTAAGAACCAAAGCTGGAACTAGAGCGAATCTGCACATCCCCCTAACCTGAAATTTGACGAAGCATTGCTCAAAGGGGCGAAGTTACGCACAACCTGTTCGCGTTGGACTCGACCTTGCGTCAGAGTCGTGACGAACCTATCCGCACCGCGTCGAATCTAGACAGAAATTTTGTGCAGTGCGCATAACCGCATGATTCTGACGTGAGGTCCTATGAGGCTTCGTTTTATAAATACTCATTGAGTTCAGTTAATGTTCTGCATTTGCCGCACGAATTTCACATTTCAATGTGCTTCGCGACGCGACTCTAGCGATAGGATATCGGCCAATCACAGCTTTAATAACTTCGCAAGTAACTGGTGTTTCCTGTTTCTAATCTGTTGAGTGGTTTTAGCTCTGGGATTTGCAACCCACTCATGTAGCATCGCACAAATATGTGTGAAAATGCCTGCGACTTCCCGTCGCAGCATACGTCAGGGGCACCGACCATGTACTGTACGCAACAGACAGCACCGCAAATCACTTAGTGCAACTCTGCCTGCTTCGCACAGCCCTTCTCGAACAAAGCAAATTCCAACAATCTTGGTGCTTGTTTTATTCGAGAAAGGCGTACATATCAGATTCGAACAGAGCAAGCTCCAAGATTATTGGAATTTGCTCTGTTCAAAGGGGGCTGTGCGACGCAGGCGTTTTTGCACTTAGTGAGTTGCGGTGCTGTCTGTAGTGCACTGTACATAGTCGGTGCCCTTGTCGTATGTTGCGACGGGAAGTTGCAGGGATTCTCACACGTATTTGTGCGACGCTATATGGATGGGTTGCAAACCTACGAACGGAAACCACTCAAAACATCAGAAACAAGAAACACCAGTTACTTGCAAAATATGGACAGTTGTGATTGGCCGATATCCTATCGCTAGAGTTGCGACGCGAAGCACATTGAAATGTCAAAATTGGTGCGGGGAATGCAGAACATTGACTGGACTCAGGCAGTATTTCTAAAACGAAGCCTCATAGGACCTCGTGTCTGAATCATGCGGTTACGCGCACTGCACAGAATTTCAGCATGAACTCGATGCAGTGCCGATAGGTTCGTCACGATTCTGACGCGAGGCCGAGTCCGACGCGAGCTGTGGAACAGGCTGCGCGTTACATCGCCCATCTGAGCAATGCTTTGTCAAATTTCAGGTTAGGGGGGTGTGCAGATTCGCGAGTGGTTTCAGCTTCGGCTTCGTGCCTGTCCGGTTTGGAAACAAAAAATAAAATTGGCTGTCTTCCTTCGATTGGTTATTGGGTTAGTCAGCGTCAATAGTCGGATCAGTTTTGCATCAATGGTTCGGGAAGGGGGGCATGTGTGGGTCGTGGAGATCGCCGACAAATGAGATGTTGTCTTGACCATATTTATGTGAGTGCCTTTGGTTGCGACGTTTTTTGTTTCCGCTTATACGATTGGTGGTGGAACATTGTACAGTCTGCGACTTGGGAGTTTCTCTTATCGAATAGTTGCCTGGTGCGAATGTTTGCCTTAGGGGTCGTTGCACTAGTCGCGGCTGGCCTGTACTTTCTGCCGCGCGAAAGATTCACAGGCGGTTACCGAGCTACTCGAAGCAAAACACGTCGGCTTGCCTTCGGCTGCCCGTTTCACGTCCCAGCACAATTTCGACACTCGCCCCTGCACCTGCACCGCCTCGATTCCCCCGAATTAGCTCACGGGCGGAAGCACGTCCCCGCTTCAACACGCGACTCCACGCATCCACCAGTAGCGGTTCCTCTTCTCCGCCTCTCTCAACCGTTCTTGGATCCTCATTGGCTGACGCATTTTCTATAATCCGGTTGTTCCCCACGTCACCTCCGGAACCTTGGGTGAGATTGTCCGCCTGGTTCGCGCCACAGCAGTTGGCGCAGGACCTGTCGGTTTCTCGTTGCGCTCCGCCTCTTCCCTTTTGAGCTCGACACTGTAGCTGCGCCAGCCCGAAACCTCGCTGGAGCAGCGACTTCAGCAAACTCTCGTTAATGAACCACATGACCCGTCGCAAAGCTTCGCTAGCATCGCAGCCACAAAATCAAGCGCCCAGCTTCCCCCAAGTACCCACGATTTCCTCCGTCGCCTCCGCGCCACCAGAAGGCGCAAGCGGTTCCATCCGCGAGGCTGAATACTCCCTACATTCAGCGCAAGCATCGCACACCCCCCCAACTCCTCGCGGAGGAAAGCGCTCCGCTTGTGATGGCGCAAACCAATTGACAGCTATTCCCAAGGTCAGGGGCGTGTATTAAAGCCCGAGTTTAGAATGGTAAAAAACCATGTTTACTGATCATGGAAACAGTGCCAAAAACACTGGACGAAAACAATTTCGGCAAAGCTCCACTGGCGAAAAATACTTCTCAGCGAAAAAAAAGGGTCGCTCGCGACACAAAAGGAACCCAACAACTTGTAATCAACAGTGCGCAAACAGTGACGACTTTGGGGGTGGGGGGGCAAACTGTACAAAGCATTTCCCGCGCAGTGAGTCCCGGCCAAAAAATGCGTCTAGAATGGTACCAGGCGTTTTCAACTTCAGTATGAGTGAACAGTACTTTCGAGGTTTGTCTCATGTAGCGAATTTCGCACGCTGCCCCATTTCCCATGGGTTGCGACGTGCTGGTCCCCTTCACTAGGTTACCCCAACTTTTACGAAAGCAAGTTCAGGAATCCTGAACTTGATAGCCAACCAATGTAGACTCGGGCTTTAAGAGTTCAGTTTTGTGCGGTTCATAAGGTTCTCCAAGGTCATGCGCGTTCCACGTAACATCTTAATTGGTTTGGAATGGTTGAAGTAAAACAAACTCATCACGCGCTAACCAAACCAAGAACAGTACGGTAACAGTACATACTGTGCACTCCAGCTCAGTTGAGCCGAGTGCTACTGTACTACTCTCCGTTTGACGCGCTAGGAGGAGCAACCACGACAGCGAAGAAAGTAGCCCACTTTTAGGGTTGCGTTTAGCATGCTGTTGCACTGAATGCCCAGCTAACTTGGGTGAAGCGCGACCTTTCGCGACGATACTGACTAACCGGTGACTGCACTAGCGCTTCCGCTTTCGCTGTCTGTGAGGTGTTACTCGCGTTTCCTCCATCGATTCTGACTAGAACTTGGCTGCTCGTTCGCCGCCCAGTCCTTCATTTCAGAAGGCTATCTTGGAGTGCCTATTTCCGCAACGGGCGTTTTTATTTAACTTATTATTTTTTATCCGACAATAGGACTCCTTGAGTTGCGCACAGCAGAGCTCAGAATATAACTAACTTACAAGAGGCCTAGACTGGCGTCTTTTCCACATCCCACTAGTGTACCATCCACGACTCGTACAAGAGCGTTTTTTTCCCCTCGGCTCGTTGGCGGCTCCGTCAATGGAGGGACTTCACGATTGCGAATGCGGTTATTAGCACGCTAACTAGGACTCGTTCGCAGATTAACGATTGGGGGCGACCCGGCGGACGAAATGGCGAATAATAATGTGCGACCAGTCTTCCCCCCCCCCCCCTCCCTCTCTCTCTCTCTCTCTCTCTCTCTCTCTCTCTCTCTCTCTCTCTCTCTCTCTCTCTCTCTCTCTCTCTCTCCCGCTCTCTCTCTCTCTCTCTCTCTCTCTCTCTCTCTCTCTCTCTCTCTCTCTCTCTCTCTCTCTCTCTCTCTCTCTCTCTCTCTCTCTATCTCTTTCTCTCTCCCGCTCCCACGGGCATGCAAACTTCCACCCACTCACCCGCCCCACCCGCTTCCCCCCCCAACCACCCATACCCCCACACACATGGCGTGCTGCCATTGCCCCTCTTCCTCTCCCTCTCTCCCTCTCCCTGTCCTTCCCCATCTGTCCTTCCCCATCTGTCCTTCTCTGCTCCTCGCCCCGCTCTGTCCCCCTCTCCCGCGCGCGGCCCACAAATTTCCATCTTCTCAGCACCTGACCGCCGCTTGTACCCGCGCCCCTCTCCAGCTTTCCTCTCTAACCGTGCCCTTTCCCGTCTCTTCCTATGAACACTCGGGTTCTTTTCGAGCCACCACTGCGAGCGCCCAGCAGAGAGTCGCGTGCGCACATTGTATCCGCGTTTCGCTCATCTGTTTCCTTTTGTTGTATCCCCCGCCTGGCTCTCCTCTCTCTCCGTGCCTTCGCTTGCCTGTGCGTGCGTGCGTGTGCGTGCGTGCGTGTGGGTGTGCGTGCGTGTGGATTCTCCCGCTCCCCCTCCGCGCTGTGCGCGTCTCGTCGCCTCTCTCTGCCAGTCCGGCCACCACCAGCGGTGGGTGCGGCGGCAGCTGCAGCAGCACATGCCGCGCCTCTTTCCGCTCATAGAGGAAGCGCTAGCCGCCTCCGCGCCCAACGCGCAGGTACGCCGCCCTCCCCGCTGTCATCTCTCACCGTCCCTCCCTCTGCCAGTCGCAGCACCACCAGCGGCAGCTGCAGCAGCACATGCCGCGCCTCTTCCCGCTCATAGAAGAGGCGCTAGCCGCCTCCGCGCCCAACGCGCAGGTATGCCCTACGGTCCTACCCCCTGTGATACAAGTGTCTAGTTCTGAAGCGCCTCAAATTTAGTCGCTTGCTGCCTCCGCGCCCAACGCGCAGGTACCCTCCTGCCCTCTTCACTAACAATAAGCCCATGACTATTGTCATGATTATTACACTTAATTTAAGCCGGTTATTTCCTTCTGCCCATTGAGCTTCCCGCGCCACCTACCTATTCCCGCTCATTTCCCTCTTCCTCTCCCCCCTTCTTCCCCCCTCCCCCCAACACCCCGGGCGCCCCACCACCTCCGCCCAATCTTGCATCCTTGCATTCTTGCAGCAATTTGTACAGGAGCCGAGCGTGGATGTGCTTATAACGGATGAGAACACCGCGTATGACGTGGAGGATCTCGTTGCTGACCTGGCATCACGAGGTGAGGGAGAGTGCGCTGATCATGCTTACAGCCTGTGAGTGAGGGGTTAACGATAATGGAAGGATTTCAATGAGAGGGTATAACTGGGAGGGAGGGTGTCAATGGGACTGGGTGGGATATCAATGAGAGTGGAGGACCGAGGAAGACAGGGCGTGTTTAGTGTAGGAATGGAGGGAGAGATGGAAGGAAGGAGGGGGGGAGGTTGATCTGCAGGGTAGGGAGGGGAATGGATCATGGGGAAGCAAGGAATGAGCTGTCAGGGCACACACAGGTGCGCCCGGAGTGCAGCAGGTGGAGGCAGCAGTGCAGCAGAGCGGCATGGAGGCGGAGGCAGAAGCACTGGGGTGGAGAAACTTACTCCCTTTTCCCACCCGCTCCCTTCCCCTTCTCCCCTCTTTTTCCCCAGGCGTGCCTGGAGCGCAGGAGGTGGAGGCAGCAGTGCAGGAGAGCGGCATGGAGGCGGAGGCAGAAGCGGTGGTGGATTTCTTTGAGGTGCTCATGGGGGTGCTGGACGAGCACCTGGAGAACAGGCTTGGGAGTAAGGGGGGGCAGGACGAGTGGGCGAACGGGAGTGGGGAGGAGAGTGGGAGTGAGGTGGAGAGTGGGAGTGAGGGGGAGAGGGGGAGTGAGGGGGAGAGCGGGAGTGTGAGAGGGAGTGAGAGAGGGAGCGAGAGAGGGAGTGGGAGCGTGGGTGAGAGTGGGAGTGGGGATGAGAGTGGGAGCCGGAGTGGGAGTGAGAGAGAGAGTGATAGTGGGAGTGACGTGCCCGTGGGTGCATTGGTGGGGGGAGACGGGGGGGGAGAAGGGGAGTATGACTACGAAGACGAGGAGGAACAGTCCAGGGAGGAGGATGATGTATCGGAGGGTAGGGAAGGAAGTGAGGAGGAATTTGATGAGGAGGAAATGAGGGATGAGGAGTTGAGTGAGGAGGAGGGAGAAGGGGAGTTTCGTTACGAAGACGAGGAGGAACGGTCGGGAGAGGATGATGATGTATTGGATGATGATAGGGAGGGGAGTGAGGAGGTTTCAGATGAGGAGAAAATGAGGGATGAGGAGTTGAGTGAGGAAGGAATGAGTGAGGAGGGAGTGAGAGATGCGGAGGTGTTAAGTGAGGAGGAGTTGAGTGAGGAGGAGATGAGGGATGAGGAGGAAATGAGTGAGGAGGGAGTGAGTGAGGAGGAATACGGTCATGATAGGCAAGGGAGCGAGGAGGAGGGAATGAATAGAAGCGGCAGTTTTGGCGGCAGTTTTGGCGGCAGTTTTGAGGAGGAGGAGGAGGATGACGACAGCGATGGCCGGTCAGAGGACGAGGGGACAGCATACGAGCAAGAGGAGTTTGCAGCAGGCAGACGGGGCGAGCATGGGCACGGGGATGGGGATTCGGAGGAGGGCGCGGACTTGGAAGGGGACGGGGATTCAGAAGGGGGCGAGCGTGGGGATGAGGCGGAGGAACAGGGTGGGGATGGGGAGGTGGAGGAAGAGTATGCGAGTGTTGGGAGTCCCCGCAGCAGTGAGGGGAGTAGCCGTGACAGTGGCAGCCACAGCCGCAGTGGCAGTGGCAGGAGCAGGGGCAGCGGCAGTGGGAGTGGGAGTGATGATGGTGGCGGTAGTGTTGGTGGTAGTTCTCATGGCGGTGATCTGCAGGAAGGTGATGCTGATTATAGTGATGATGACGATGATGATGATGATGATGACGATGATGTTCCCATGGCTCGGCCTGGTGGCATGGAGGGGCAAGGCGACTGGTCGCATGGGGAGGATGAGGAGTCACATGGGGATGAGGAGTCGCATGGGGATGAGGAGTCGCATGGGGATGAGGAGTCGCATGGGGATGAGGAGTCGCATGGGGATGAGCATGAATTGTATGGAGACGAACAGGAATCACATGGGGATGAGGAGGAGTCGCATGGGGAGGAGCATGAGCTGTATGGCGATGACCAGGGGTCGCATGGGGAGGATGAGGAGTCGCATGGGGATGAGGAGGAGTTACATGGAGATGAGCGCGAATTGTACGGTGATGACCATGGGTCACATGAGGATGATGAGTCACATGGGGAGGATGATGAGTCACATGGGGAGGATGATGAGTCACATGGAGAGGAGCGTGAGCTGTATGGGGATGACCATGGGTCAGATGAGGATGAGGAGTCGCATGACGATGGCTATACCTTGCATCAAGATGATTTTGCACATGAGCATGGGCAAGAGGAGCCGTTTGCATCTGGCCCTGTGTCTGAGTCTGGTTCAGAGTCTGTCTCTGCATCGGATGTAGAGTCGCAAGACAGGGGATCGGAACACGATCTGGGCTCGGAGCAAGATGGTGATGAGCATGCGCTCGAGCAACCGTTTGCATCCGGCCCTGTGTCTGGGTCTGTGTCTGGGTCTGTGTCTGGGTCAGATATGGAGTCACACGACAGGGGATCGGAACATGGCATGGGCTCGGAGCAAGATATGGGATTAGAGGAAGGGATGGGTTCGGCGGATGAAGAGATGAGATCGGAACAAGACATGGGATCGGAGCGCGAAATGGGGTTGGAGCAGGATACAGGGTCAGAGCAAGAAATGGGGTCAGAGAGCGATAGGGGGTCGGAAGAGGATGCAGGATCGGAAGAGGATACGGGTTCGGAACAAGACGTGGGGTCAGAGCACGATGTCGGATCGGAACAAGGTATGGGTTCGGAACAAGATAGGGGGTCGGAGGATGATGCAGGATCGGACGAGGACACACAATCGGAGCAAGAAACAGGGTCAGAGCACGACATGGGATCAGGGCACGACATGGGGTCAGAGCATGACATGGGGTCAGAGCATGACATGGGGTCAGAGCATGACATGGGGTCAGAGCATGATTCAGGATCGGAACAAGACATGTTTCCGGAGCAGGACTTGGGTTCGGAGCAGAATGGCGGTTCGGAGCGGGATGGTGGCTCGGACGAAGACTTAGGTTCAGAGCGGGAATTGGGGTCGGAGCAAGAGTCGGATGACGAGGTGGTGGTGGCAGCAGCACTGAGGGCAGACAGGGAACATGCTGCTGGGATGGACGTGGGGGAAGAGGAGGACGAGGAGGAAGAGGACTTAGAGTCAGACGTAGAACTGGATCCTGAGCAAGAATCAGGGTCCGAGCAAGAGTCGGATGATGATGATGTGATGGTGGCAGCAGCAGTGAGGGCAGACAGCCATGGCTATGCGGATGGGATGGACGAGGAGGAAAAGGACTTAGCGTCAGGGCGAGGTTTGGATCCCGAGCAAGAAACGGGGTCGGAGCAAGAGTCGGATGACGAGGTAGTGGTGGCAGCAGCAGTGAGGGGAGTCAGGGATGACTATGCTGTTGGGATGGAAGTGGGGGAAGAGGAGGACGAGGAGGAAGAGTCCGAGCAAGAGTCAGATGATGATGTAGTGGTGGTAGCAGCAGCACTGAGGGTAGACAGCCACGGCTATGTGGATGGGGGGATGGAGATGGGAGAGGAGTTGGAGGCAGAGGAGGAGGAAAGGTACTTCAGGAACGAGGGGGAATGGCCGTTGGAGCCCGGGCGATTTGAGCAGCCACAGCAAGAAAGGCATAGGGCTGCCTCCCGCTCCCGCTCTCCGTCCATCCCCACCTCTTCTGCCTCTTCCGCCTCTTCCTCCGCTTCCTCATCTGATGACGGCTCTGTCCCTGTGGCTTCTCAGTTCGCGCCCTCCTCTCTCCCCCCCGCCGCCAGTAATGAGACGACTTCGCCTCAAAAGTCGTCTTTTGAGGCGCCTCAAAACTCTGCCTCCGCTTCCTCTGCTTCCTCCGCTTCCTCATCTGACGGCGACTCTGTTCCTGTGGCTTCTCACATTGCGTCCTCCCCTCTCCCCCCTGCCACTGCCGCCGCGCCCTCACAAGCCGTTTTTAAGTCCCCACAACGAGAGCCGGTTACTCAGTTTACGTCCTCGTTTCCCCTGGTTACTGCCGCACCCTCATTAGAAGCCCCTTACAGAGAGGAGACAGCAGTTGGGAGCTCCCAAGGGCAGTTGGGAGAAGCAAACGGGGCTGTGGGGCAGTTGGGGGGAGAAGAGGCAGGCGATGGGGGCGTGGAGCAGATTAGAGACGCTGCAGGCACGGATACTGAGGAGGAGCGGTTGAGAGAAGCGACAGGGAGTGGTGGACTTTCTGGTGCAGCAGCAGCGGCAGCAACAGCAGCAGCAGCAGCAGCAGCAGCAGAAGAAGAAGAAGAAGAAGAAGAAGAAGAAGAAGAAGAAGAAGAAGAAGAAGAAGAAGAAGAAGAAGAAGAAGAAGAAGAAGAAGCAACAGGTAGGGGGCAGCAGGGAGCAGCCTCAGAGGAAGGAGCAGTAGATAGGGGGGAAGGGGGAGCAGTGGCGGAGAGAGATGGCTCACAGGGCGCACAGGGGGGAAACGGGGGGGAAGAAGGGGAGAAGTTGGGGGAAGTTGTGCGGGAGGGGGAGGGGGAGGGGGAGGGGGCTGTGGAAACATCAGGGAGCCGCGGGAGGGGGAGAGGGAGAGGCAGGGGCATAGCACGGGGACGGGGGGAGGGGCAATTGGGTATGGAAATGGGCGGAAGGGGACGAGGGGGGATTGCAAGGGGAATAGGGGGGATGGCCGAGGGGGGAGGATGGGGGCGGTTGCGGGGAGGGGCAGGGGAAGGGGAGTGTGGGAAGGGGGAGGCGGAGGGTGGGGGCAAGGACCTGGGCGGGGACGGGGGAGGGGGGGCAGATGGGGGAGGTGGGGGAAGGGGAGCGGGGGAAGGGGGGAAGCAGGCGCGGGGCAGGATCAGGGGCTGGCAGAAGGGTCAGGGGAAGGGGGAGGGGACGTTATCGAAGGGGGAAGGGGGCGGGGGAGGGGTCGAGGGGGGCTAGTGGGATGCGGGCGGGAGGGGGGGGGGCTTGGGAGGGGCGTGGGAAGAGGAGGGCCGGGAAGGGGGTTAGTGGGGGGGAGAAGTCCAGGGGGGAGGGAGGGAGTTCTGGGTAGAATGGGGGCAAGAGGGAGGGGCATGGTACCGGGTAGAGGGCGTGGGAGGGAGATTGGTGGGAGAGGGAGGGGCAGGATCGGGGTTGGGGGAAGGGGCGTGGGGCTAGACACAGAAGGAGCAGCAGTGGCAGCGGCAGTGGCAGCAGCAGCAGGAGAAAAAGAGGAAGGGAAAGGAGAGGCAGGAGCAGGAGGAAGCAGAGAGGAAGTGGCAGCAGCAGTGGTGGGAGGTGCAGTAGGGGTGGCAGTAGCAGGGGCAGATGGGGGGCTCGAGTGGGGAAAAGACGGGAGCATGGGGAGTGGAGGGATGGAGCGCGGTGACGAGGAGTGGAGGGAAGATGATTCTGGTAGGCAGAGAGAGGAGCAAGGGGAGGTTGTAATGGGAGGGGATATGGAAGAAGTAAAGGGCAAGGAGAAAGAATTAGAGGAGAAAGGAGAGGAAGGCAGGGGGGAAGGAGACATGGAGGAAAGAGAGGGTGAGGAAAAGGATGGGGATGGGAATGCGGTGGTCGCTGGTGTGGACAGGGGAGGGCAGGAGTGGGAGGGGCAGGGAGCGAGGGATAGGAAGGAAGAAGCAGCAGAAGAGACGCCCAGGGATCCTGACAGGGGGCCGTGGGGGGAAGGAAGGGGGATGGAAGAAGGTAAGGGGAGTGAGGGGGGGGGGGATGGGGAGGATCCTGGGAGGGAGGCGGGGGAGGATCGTGGGTTGGAGGCGGGGGAGAGGAGTGAGGGAGGGGGAAGTGGGGGGGAGGAGGGCGAGAGGGAGGATGGAGAGGGAAGGGGTGGTGCAAAGGTCGGAATGGGGCTAGAAGGGAGAGAGGAGATGGAGGGGGGGAGTGGGGATGAGGAGGAAAGGGAGGAGAGGCAGCAGCAGCAGGGCTGGAAGGGCGAGGGGAGTGTGAAGGGGAGTGAGGGGGAGAGTGAGGGGGAGAGTGAGGGGGAGAGTGATGATGATGTGGTGATGGCGGCAGCAGCAGTGGCGCGGAGTGATGTTGATGACGATGATGATGATAATGATGATGATAATGATAATGATAATGATGTGGTAGTGGCAGCAGCAGCAGTGGAGAAAGCAAGTAGTGGAGAGTCAGGAGAGGAAGAGGAGGGGAGTGAGAGGAGGAGCGATAGAGAGAGGGAGGTGGGAGGGGATGAGGGGACGGTGTTGAGTGACAGGGAAGAGGAGGGGTTTCGGATGGGTGTGGGGAGTGAGAAGGGAGGTGTGTATGGAAGGGGGAGTGAGGTGGACGGTGAGGGTGGTGAAGGGAGGAGTGGGAGGGGGGGTGAGGGAGAGAGTGAGGGGGAGTGGGAGGAAAATGATGCGCCTAGAGAAGTGGGGCAGCACTGGGGGGAGGAGCGGAGTGAGGAGGGGAGTGAGAAGGGGAGTGAGGAGGGGAGGGAGGAGGGGAGTGAGGAGGGGAGTGAGGAGGGGAGTGAGGAGGGGAGTGAGGAGGGGAGGGAGGAGGGGAGTGAGGAGGGGAGTGAGGAGGGGAGTGAGGAGGAGAGTGAGGAGGGGAGGGAGGAGGGGAGTGAGGAGGGGAGTGAGGAAGGGAGTGAGGGTGGTGACATGTATGGGATGGAGAATGAAGAGAGAAGTGAAGGGGGAAGCGAGGCTGGGAGTGGAAGGGGGAATGGAAGGGGGAGTGACATGTATGGGATGGCTGATGCAGAGAGACGCGAGGGGGAGAGTGAGGGGGGTAGTGAGATGGGGAGTGAACAGAAGAGTGGAGAGGGGAGTGAGGAGGGAAGTGAGGGTGGTGACATGTATGGGATGGAGGATGATCAGAGGAGCGAGGGGGGGAGTGAGAGTAGAGGGGGAAGTGAAGGGGGTAGTGACAGGGAGGGGAGTGAGAGAGGAAGTGGGGAGGAGAGCGATCAAGAGAGCGTGGGAGGGAGTGTGAGAGAGAGTAGTGCGGAAGAGAAGGAGAGGGGAGGCAGTGGATCGGAGGATGGGCGTGCGGAGGTGGGGTATGGCGAGAGGATGGGGGGTGCAGAGAGGGAGGACTCGCGTGTGTGGGAGCAGGGAGGGGAGGAATCACGAGTGTGGGAGCAGGGAGGGGAGGAATCGGGAGCCTGGGAGCAGCAGTCGAGGAGTGAAGGGTCGGAGGGGGGTGAAGGGTCGGCGGGGGTGATTACGAAAGTGGCTTTAGAGGGAAGGGGTCAGAGGGGTCTGGAGGACACGAGTCGCATGATGATGAGGTGTCAGAGCAGGACGGGTCAGAAGACGAGGGAGGATCGCAGCATGAAGGATCGAAAGATGGGTCAGACGACGAGGATGATGAAGATGTGAGACACATGGTGGGGGAAGAGAAGCGAGGAGAGGAGTGGGATGGGGAAGACTTGGGTAGTGATGATGGAAGGGAGGTTGCGAGAGGCAGAGAAGAAGGGGTTTATGGAGATGAGGATGGGCGCTCGGATAGAGCGAGTGAGTCTGGGGAATCAGAGGGGATGGGGGAGGAGGAGAGGGTCGAGGAAAGGGAGGGATTGGAAGAAGGAGAGAGATCAGAGGAAGGGGAAAGATCAGAAGAAGGGGAGGAGGAGGAGATTTTAGAGGGCGATGAGAGATCGGAGGATTCGGAGAACGGGAGGAGGTGGGAAGGAAGTGAGGGAAACGAGGGGAAGGAGGGGAGTGAAGAGGAGTATGAGCAAGGGGGCGAGGAATCGAGAGTGTGGGAGGGGGGTGCTGTCGATGGTGGTATGGGAGGGTGGGGGGTTGAGAGCGGGAGATTTGAGCGTGCTTTGAGTGGTGGCAGTGATGGGGAGGGGAGAGAGCAGAGCAAGGGGAGTGAGGAGAGGAGTGAGGAGGGGAGTGAGGAGAGGAGTGAGGAGGGGAGTGAGGAGAGGAGCGAGAGTGGGAGTGAGGGGAGGAGTGAAGAGGGCTTGGAGGAAGGGAGTGAGAGCGAAGGGGGTGAGAGGGAGGAGGTTTGGGAGCGGAGCGAGCATGGTAGTGAGGAGGGGATGGGGCATGATGAGAGTGAGGAGGAGGGGAGTGAGAGCGGAAGTCAGCACACAGAGGGTTTGGAGTATGAGAGGGATGAGGTGGGGAGTGAGGAAGACGAGGAGTATGAGAACAGGGAAGAGGAGAGGAGGGAGGAGGAGAGCAGGGAGGATGAGGAAGAGGAGGAGGAAGAGGAGGAGGAAGAGGAGAAAGAGGAGGAAGAGGAAGACGTACCAGTGCTTCTGTCTGCTGGTCCGTTTGTGAGGGCAGCAATTGGAGCAGCGAATTCAGAATATTGGGAGAGAGAGGAGGGAGGGGATGAAGCGGACGAGGAGGAGAGGCATGAGGAGAGTGAGGAGGGGAGTGAGGAGGGGAGTGAGGAGGGGAGTGAGGAGGGGAGTGAGGAGGGGAGTGAGGAGGGGAGTGAGGAGGGGAGTGAGGAGGGCAGAGAAGGGAGGATGGATGGGGGAGACATGCCTGTGGGAGGTGGAGAGGGGGAGGAGGATGAGGGAAATAGGCTATCCGAGGGTGAGGGGGGGGGCATGTATAGTGGGGGGGGGCAGGAGGTATGTATGGTGCAGAGGACACGTACAGGCAAGACGAGGGAGGTGGGGATAGGGACATGTATGGGGATGGGTCTGCGCATGAGAGTGATGATGGGGAAGGGATGCCCGGAATGAAAGGGTTGAGGGGTACAGATCCGGATATGGGGGTAGACTCGGGACGGTGGGAGCAGGGAGGGCCGGATGGAGAATCGGGAGAGGACAGTGATGATGGGCAAGAGGATGGGTATACGGATGGCGAGCGGGACATGTATGGGGGGGATGTGATTACACCAGGGAGTGATGATGGGCAAGGGGCGATGGGGAGGAGTGGAGAGATGGGGAGTGGAGTAGTAGGTGGTTCAGACACAGGGGGTGATGCAGGGCGATGGCTCCAGGATGAGGCAGAGGGGGGATCAGAAGAGGAAGAGGGGGAATCAGAAGGGGACATGTACGGAGATGGGTCTGCAGATGGGAGTGATGATGGGAAAGGCCCGATGGAGAGGAGTGGAGGGATGGGAGAGATGCAGGGCGGGGTGTCAGAAGTTGGGGAGTCCGAAGGGGGGGGATCAGAAGAGGGGGGATCAGGAGGAGAGAGTGTGGATGGAGAAGAGGATATGTATGGAGATGACAAGGAAGGGCTGTTGAGAGATGAAACGGGGCATGTGGGAGATGAAACGGGCGAGTTTGGGGATGAAACGGGTGAGTTTGGGGATGAAACGAGGGAGTTTGGGGATGAAACGAGGGAGTTTGGGGAAGAAACGGGGGAGTTTGGAGATGAAACGAGGGAGTCTGGAGATGAAACGGGGGAGTTTGGAGATGAAACGAGGGAGTCTGGAGATGAAACGGGGAAGTTTGGAGATGAAACGAGGGAGTCTGGAGATGAAACGGGGGAGTTTGGAGATGAAACGAGGGAGTCTGGAGATGAAACGGGGGAGTTTGGAGATGAAACGAGGGAGTCTGAAGATGAAAGGAGTGAGCTGGGAGATGAAAGGAGGGCGTTTGGAGATGAAACGAGGGAGTTTCGGGATGAAACCGGGGAGTTTGGAGATGAAACGAGGGAGTCTGGAGATGAAACGCAGGAGTTCGGAGATGAAACGAGGGAGTTTGGAGATGAAACGGGGGAGTTTGGAGATGAAACGAGGGAGTCTAGAGATGAAAGGAGTGAGCTGGGAGATGAAAGGAGGGAGTTTGGAGATGAAATGAGGGAGTTTCGGGATGAAACTGGGGAGCTTGGAGATGAATCGAAGGAGTTTGGAGATGAAACGAGGGAGTTTGGAGATGAAACGGGGGAGTTTGGAGATGAAACGAGGGAGTCTGGAGATGAAAGGAGTGAGCTGGGAGATGAAATGAGGGAGTTTCGGGATGAAACTGGGGAGCTTGGAGATGAATCGAAGGAGTTTGGAGATGAAACGAGGGAGTTTGGAGATGAAACGAGGGAGTTTAGAGATGAAAGGAGTGAACTGGGAGATGAGAGGAGGGCGTTTGGAGATGAAACGAGGGAGTTTCGGGATGAAACCGGGGAGTTTGGAGATGAAAGGGGGCTTGATGGGGGTGAAGCTGGCTACGTGAAAAGCACAGGGGAGCAGTCAGGAGAGGCAGTGGAGCGGTTTGGAGATGAAACGAGTCAGTCAGGAGATGAAACGAGTCAGTTAGGAGATGAAACGAGTCAGTTAGGAGATGAAACGGGTGAGTTCGGAGATGAAACGGGTGAGTTCGGAGAAACAGGGGAGTTAGGAGGAACAAGGGAATACAGAGAGGAGCAATTGGGAGAGGGTGAGAGAGATGAGGGGAGTGGGAGTGAGGGAGAAAGGAGCGAGGAGGGGCATTGGGCGGAAGGGGATGATGGTGTGGATGGGGAGGAGGGTGGGTCTAGTGGGAGTGAGGGTGGTGTGGTGGCAGCTTTGATGGTTGAGGAAGATGAGGAGGGGGAGGAGGAGGATGAGGAGGATGAGGAGGATGTTGATCAGGAGGGGAAGAGGGAGGATGAGATGGAGCGGGAGGAGAGTGGAGGAGAAGAGACGGGAGGAGGGAGTACGATGGGAGGATGGGTGGAGAGTGCGGAGGGAGAGAGGGATGGGGCGAGAGAAGCGGAGGACGAGTGGATTGAGCAGAATGGTGTGGGATTAAAGGAGGGCGTGATGGCAGGTGACGAGATGGAGGACAGTGAGGAAGGGGGTAGTGAGGTGGAGGGTAGCGGAATGGAAGGGGAGTTCTTGTCTGTGAGTCAACATGGAATGCACATGATGCAGGGGATGCACGGGATGCACAGCATGCACAGCATGCACGGGATGCATGGGATGCAGGGGATTGAAGACAGAGGCTTGGAGAATGGCCCGGCCTCGCAGGTCGCCCTAGGCTTGGAACCCCATGGAGGTTCGGAGGATGACTCGGACCAAGCCTCGGATATGGGTAAGGGGAATGGAGCAGCAGGGTGGGATGAGGATGAGGATGGGGATGACGTGGCAGAGGCTGAGGCGGTAGGGTCTGATGTGGAGGGGCGATCGGACGGCCAATCAGAGGTTGCCAACGAGGCATCTGGGAGGGAGGTTAAGCAGTGGGAAGGGAGTCATGCTTCTGCTGGTGACTGGGATCGTGGGGCGCCTGGCGAAACAGCAGGTGAAATAGCAGGTGAGATGTCAGGTGAGCTGTCAGGTGAGATGTCAGGTGAATTTGGGGGTTCATGTGAAAACGGCGTTTCAGGAGGCCACAGAGCTTCAGGTGGTTATGGAATGTCAGGCGAGCCACTACCTGCAGCATGTGGTGCTACAGCAGGGGAGAAGCCGCGTATGCAGAATCATGACATGCCGAATCACATGCCAAATGTTTTTGGTACCATGCCAGATGGCACGCCACATGACATGCCGCATGACATGCGGGTGCAGGATGCCATGCACAATGACATGGATGATAAGGGCATGGATACTCTTAACATCGATCGGGTAGATGATGGCGTGGATGCCGCCCCCATTGCGGTTGCTCCTGGAAAGGCACTGCTGCAGTCACACCATGCTCTACCCCCTTCGGACAGCGAGTCTGAGGGGTCTGGAGAGATGCCAGTAGCAGCAGCAGCCATAGGGCCAGAGGCGGCTGCAGGAGGGCAACACACTGTGCCGGCAGCAGCAGAACCTGAAGCAGCACCAGCAGCAGCAGCAAAACCAGAAGCAGCAGCACTGGTGGCAGCAGGAGTGGGAGGAGTGGGAGGGGCGGTGGCAATAGCAGAACCATCAGCAGCAGCACTGGTAGCAGCAGCAGTAGCAGACGGCAAGAAGAAGCATCAGGAGGGCGGGGGGTGGGTGTCGTGGATGGGAGGGGCTGTGGCGAGTCTTCTCAGCCCCCACATACGTAAACCGTCTGCTGACGTCACCACGGCTGCTCATGCCATAGCACCGCAAGTAACCCCTCAGGCTACACCGGAAGTTACCAAATCCGATGTTACAAAACTCGATGTGCCAAAACCCGACGTTACAAAACCCGATGTTACCAACGGCGGTGTTACCGCTGTTCAAGATAGAGGTGCTGAGTCTGCTGCAAGTAATGATGATGCCTGGCTGCACGAGGCACCTCCTGCCATGGCCTCAGATACATCACTATCCACCACATCCCCCGCTCAAGTGCTGCACACCCTCTCGACGCAACTCGTCCCTGCCAAACCTGGCGTTGCCGAACCTGCCTCTGCCGAACCTGTCTCTGCCAAGCCTTTGTTGTATGAGTCTGCTGGAGAGGGGGCAGAGGGCGCAGAGGGAATGGTACTGTTTCAGGTGGCTGGGAAAGCACCTGCGTCAGTTGGTGTGCAGTCTGGTGGCCTCCTGCCAGGTGAATCGCCAGGTGGTGTATTCGAAATCAAGATGCCGAATGGGTATGCGAAGATGGGGGCGCCGGAGGGAAGTGCGGAGAGTGGAAGAAGCGAGAGTGAGGGGAGTGACGGGAGGGAGCGGATGGAGGAGAGCGAGAGGAGTGAGGGGGGCAGGGACTATCCAGACGCGGATGGGAGAGAGGGTTTGGGGCGTGGGGCCAGTGCTATGGGTGATATGTATGGTGGGGGGAGGGTGATATGCATAGTGGGGGGAGGGTGATATGCATAGTGGGGGGGAGGGTGATATGTATGGTGGGGCGGTGATATGCATAGTGGGGGGGAGGGTGATATGCATAGTGGGGGGAGGGTGATATGTATGGTGGGGGGGAGGGTGATATGCATAGTGGGGGGGAGGGTGATATGCATAGTGGGGGGGAGGGTGATATGTATGGTGGGGGGGAGGGTGATATGCATAGTGGGGGGGAGGGCGATATGCATCATAGTGGGGGGAGGGTGATATGTATGGTGGGGGGAGGGTGATATGTATAGTGGGGGAGGGTGATATGCATAGTGGGGGGGAGGGTGATATGCATAGTGGGGGGGAGGGTGATATGCATAGTGGGGGGGAGGGTGATATGCATAGTGGGGGGAGGGTGATATGCATAGTGGGGGGAGGGTGATATGCATAGTGGGGGGGAGGGTGATATGCATAGTGGGGGGAGGGTGATATGCATAGTGGGGGGAGGGTGATATGCATAGTGGGGGGGAGGGTGATATGCACAGTGGGGGGGAGGGTGATATGCATAGTGGGGGGGAGGTGATATGTATAGTGGGGGGGGGTGACATGTATGGTGGGGGGAGGGTGATATGCATAGTGGGGGGGAGGGTGATATGCATAGTGGGGGGGAGGGTGATATGCATAGTGGGGGGGAGGGTGATATGCATAGTGGGCGGGAGGGTGATATGCATAGTGGGGGGGAGGGTGATATGCATAGTGGGGGGGAGGGTGATATGTATGGTGGGGGGGGCGGGTGATATGCATAGTGGGGGGGGAGGGTGATATGCATAGTGGGGGGAGGGTGATATGTATGGTGGGGGGGAGGGTGATATGCATAGTGGGGGGGAGGGTGATATGCATAGTGGGGGGGAGGGTGATATGTATGGTGGGGGGGAGGGTGATATGCATAGTGGGGGTGAGGGCGATATGCATCATAGTGGGGGGGAGGGTGATATGTATGGTGGGGGGAGGGTGATATGTATAGTGGGGGGGAGGGTGATATGCATAGTGGGGGGGAGGGTGATATGCATAGTGGGGGGGGAGGGTGATATGCATAGTGGGGGGAGGGTGATATGCATAGTGGGGGGAGGGTGATATGCACAGTGGGGGGAGGGTGATATGCATAGTGGGGGGAGGGCGATATGTATAGTGGGGGGAGGGTGATATGTATGGTGGGGGGGAGGGTGATATGCATAGTGGGGGGAGGGTGATATGCATAGTGGGGGAGGGTGATATGCATAGTGGGGGGAGGGTGATATGCATAGTGGGGGGGAGGGTGATATGCATAGTGGGGGGAGGGTGATATGCATCATAGTGGGGGGAGGGTGATATGCATAGTGGGGGGAGGGTGATATGCATCATAGTGGGGGGGAGGGTGATATGCATAGTGGGGGGGAGGGTGATATGCATAGTGGGGGGGAGGGTGATATGCATAGTGGGGGTGAGGGTGATATGCATCATAGTGGGGGGGAGGGTGATATGCATAGTGGGGAGGCGAGTGATATGTATGGTGGGGAGGCGAGTGATATGTATGGGGGGGAGGCGAGTGATAAGTATGGTGGGGAGGCGAGTGATATGTATGGGGGGAGGCGAGTGATATGTATGGTGGGGAGGCGAGTGATATGTATGGGGGGGAGGCGAGTGATATGTATGGGGGGGCGGGCAAAGACGCAGTTAATGGGGTGCAGGCGTCACATGCACGATGGGAGGGAGAATCAGACGGGGGAGAATCAGAAGAGAGGGGGTCAGAAGAGGGGGGAGTAGAAGAGGGGGGGTTAGAAGAGGGGGGGCTAGAAGAGGGAGGATCAGAGGAGGAGGATCGGGATTCGCAGGAGGGTTTGACTGAGGGGCCTTATGAGTGGGGGGGAGAGAGAGGAGGGGAGGAGAGAGGCTCGGGCTCAGAGGTGGAGGATGGAGAGGGGACCCAACAGCAGGACGAGGAGGAGGAAGACGATGAGGAGGAGGAGGAGGAGGAAGAGGAAGAGGGAAGCATGCATGGGGATGGAGTAAGAGTGGGAAAGGGGGTTCAAAAGCCGTGGGAGCAGCAGGGTGCGTGGGAGGGGCAGGGGAGTGAGGAGGAGGAGGAGGACGAGGAGGAGGACGAGGAGGAGGACGAGGAGGAAGAGGAGGGGAGAGATGGGCGATGGGGTGGTGAGGAATGGGGAGGAGGAGGGGGCGAGAGGATGAATGGTGAGAATGATGAGGTGCCAGATCTGGACGAAGGGGAGGATCAAGAGTCCGATTTGATGAGTGGCCATGGTGACAACGTGGGCTCGTTTGAGCTCAAGTCGGATGAGCATAGGGAGGCGGCTGACGGCACGGATATGGGGTGGGAGGAGAGGGGGAGTGAAGGAAGCATGATGGAAAGGAGCAAGGAGGAAAGGAGTGGGGAGGAAAGGAGTGAGGAGGAAAGGAGTGGGGAGGATGGAATGGAGAGGGGACAGAGCATTGGGAGCGAGAGTGAGGGTGGGGCGGAGAGGGTAAATGAGTGGGGGGGGGGCAGGGAGTGAGAAGGATGGCAGCGATATGTACAGTGGTGACAGCATGGGGGAAGAGCAGGAGGAGGAGGAGGAGGAGGAGGAGGAGGAGGAGGAAGAGCAGGAGGAAGCGGAGCAGGAGGAGGAAGATGCACCTTGCGCAAACTCCCTCTCTCAACCCTCCCACCCCTCCCACTTTCGCGCGGCTCCGTTACCCCCCTCTTTCCCGCCTGCCCTTGCCTCCCGCCTCCAGTCCTCCTCCTCCCCCTATGTACGTGTGACCTCATGGCATGCGGATGATCCCCGCTCCTTGCCCCCAACCATGGGCGGCACGGGGGGCATGGGGGAAGATGCAGGAGGGGTGGGGGGAGGGGCAGGAAGAATGGGGGAAATGGTGCAAAATGGGGCGATGGCTCATGGCAAGGCACTTAGAAGTTTCAGCAACAGGGACTATAACGGGGGGTTACAACAGGGCAAAGCACTTAGGAGCTTTAGCAACAGGGACTATAACGGAGGGTTGCAGCAAGGGCAAGCACTTCGGAGCTTTAGCAACAGGGACTATAATGGGGGGTTGCAGCAAGGGCAAGCCCTTCGAAGTCTGAGCAACAGGGACTATAACGGGGGGATGCAGCAGGGGAAGGCACTTCGGAGTTTCAGCAACAGGGATTACAACGGGGGTAGGAGAAACGGGGTGGAGTTCGGGAGGGAAGGAGCGGTGGAGGGGGGAGAGGGAGCGTGGCGAGAGGGGTGGAAACCGTTTCAGGCTGTTCCAGTGCAAGCAGTGGCGTCCAGACATGGAATTCAAGGCATGGCCGCTGGTGCTGGGAGGGGTGGGGCAGGGCAGGGGATGGTGGAGGGAGAGGAAGAGAAGCAGGGTCGGTTGTGGGAGGAAGTGGATGAGGAGCAGGAGGAGGAGGAGACAGAGGAGGAGAGTGAGGAAGAGGAGCAGGGTAGATTATGGGAGGAAATGGGAGAGGAGGATGAGGAGGGGAGAGAGGAGTGTGAGATTGAGGAGGGAGGGGCAGGGGAGCGAGAGGGATCAAGGCACCTTTTGTGGAATGAGGGTGAGATGGTGGAGGAAGGGAGTGAGGAGCAGGAGCAGAGTGAGGGACACGAGGGGTTTGAGGAGAGTGGGGGGAGTGAGGGGGTGAGGGGAGCGAGGTTGGTGATGGGGATAAGGTGGGTGAGGGGAGTGAGGGGAGTGAGGAACAGCAAGGGTACGGAATGGAGGTATACGAAGAGGGGATGGATGGGGGGGGGGGGTGGGATGGAGTTGGGGGGAAGGGAGGGGCCAGTATAGTGGCATGGAGGTAGGAAGCGGGAGCGATGAGGAAGGGGGGAGCCAAATTCTTGGGGAGGAGGAGGAGGAGAGGGTTGGGGAGGAGGGAATGGGAGAGGGGGAGGGGGAGGGAGAAGGAGAGGGAGAGGGAGGAGAGGAATGGGAGGGAGAGGAAGATGAGAGTGTGAGGGTAGTAAAGCAAGGGCTGGGAGGCAAGCTATGGTCTGATGATGAGGAGGAGGAGGAAGAAGAAGAGGAGGAAGAGGAGAAGGGGGAGGAGGGAGGATTTGAAGGTCACGGGAACTTGTTGCATGCGAGAGGTGCACATATGGTAACCCTTGAAGGTCTTTTGATGCTAAGGGCTCCGGCCCCTGCGCCTAGCGATGCAGCAGCAGCTACTTCAGGTGGTGCAATGGTCGCAGATGACGTGTACAACATGGGAGACGCTTATAACGCGGATGGGGCTTATGTGGATGGTCCGCCCATGCATGAGTTACCCAAGGAGGTGTTTTTGGACGGTCAGGTGCCGTGGAAACCACAGTCTACGTCAGAGGAGAGCGAGAGTGAGAGTGGGGTCATGGACGCCTTTCCTGTCACTGCTGCTTCGACTGCTGCTGCTGCTGCCGCCGCTGCTGCTGCGGTTGGTTTTACTGGAGCTGCTTCATCCACTGCTGCTGCTGCTGCAGGTGGGTTACCAATCAGGGGGCAGGCGGAGAGAGATGATGACTCTCCAGAGGACGAGGCAGAGAGGCGGAGGAGAGAGCGGGAGCAGAAGCGGGAGCGGAAGGAGAGGCGGGAGAGGCGGGAGAGGCGGCGGCAGTCGACTCTATCTGCTTTAAGTGGGCATGAGAGTGATGCATCGGCCATGGAGTGGAAGCAGGAGGAGGAGGAGCAGAGGGAAAAGGGGCAACCGGGGGTGCTGGTGCTAGGGCAGCAGGTGGTGCTGCTGAGGGGCACAGGAGCAGGGGAGGATGCTTTCACGTCTGACGCTGGTCCAGAGGAAATGGGAGGGCCGGTTGGGGGGTTTGTAGGGGGAGTGCTGGTGGGGTGGCTGGTAGGGGTGTGGCTGGGGAAGTTGAGGGGGGGGGAGTGTTCGTGATGTGGCTGCTGGTGAGCGGTGGATTGCAGGAGGGGGTTGGGGGTGGGGGATAGGGGGGTGAAGGGGGGGGTATGGAGGCGAGGTTTTGGGAGGGGGCGAAGAGGGAAGTGGGGAGAGGGGATATGGTGGCATGAGAAGGGTTGAGATGGACGATAGGGAGGGAATGGGAGGGGAGTGGATGGAAGTGGATGGAGGGATGAGGATAGATGGAAGGATGGATGGAAGGGTGGGAGAGGGGATGGGTGAGGGGATGGGTGAGAGGATGGTGGGTGAGGGGATGGGGTCTGGTGTTTTGGTGATTGAAGCACGTGCTCTGGGTAAAAAGAAAGGGGACGAGGGGAGTAGGAAGAAGGAAGGGAGGAGTGGGAAGAAGACTGAGGAGGAGAGTGGGAAGAGTAAAGGAAAGAGCCGAGGGGAGGAGAAAGAGCGGACGAGTGTGCGTAAGAAGAAAGCGGAGGGGGAGGGGGGAGGGGTCGGGGTCGGGGAAGAGGGGAAGAAGAAGAAAAAGAAGAAGAAAAAGACGCGTGAGAAGGAGGCAGTAGGGGGGGAGGAAGTGAAGGATAAGAAGAAACGAAAGAAGAAAAAGAAGAAAAAGGAAGGAGAGGAGGAAGGGGTTGAGGGCGAGAAGGAAGATAAGAAAGTAAAGAAGAAGAAGAAGAAGAAGTCAAAAAAGAGCAGCAAAGGGGAGAAGGAAGGAGGGGATATTGTTGCTGAAGGTGATAAGAAGAAGAAAAAGAAGAGCAAGGAAGGAAGGAACGAGGAGGGGGACGAAAGCAAGACTCGAAAGAAGAAGAAAGAGAAGGATGAGAAGAAGCGAGGCAAGAGCAAAGGCAAGGAGAAGGGTGGAGATGGGGAGAAGGGCGAGGAGGAGGGGAAGAAGAAGCGGAAGAAGAAGAAGGAACGAGAAAGGAAGAAGAGTAAAGAGGGCGTGGACGGAGTGAAGGAGGACGGAGCGGCTGACAATGGCACTGGTGATAGTGCAGCTCTTGATTCGGCAGAAGGGGACGGAGAGGAGGGGCAGGGGGGGCTGAAGAAACTAGTTGAGGCCGGGAGGAAGAGAGACAAGAGAGGCATGAGTGTGACCATGGATAGGGTGGCGAGATGGGTGGAAGAGAGCAGGGCAGCGCAAAGCAGAGGAAATGCGGACGGTCTGGGTGGGAGAAGGGAGGGGGGGAGAGTGCGGGGAGGGGGAGGAGGAGAGGGGGAGAGTGGAGGGGAAGGGGAAGATGGAGGGGGGTTAGAGGAGCCTTGGCTGGGAGCGGAGGGAGGGGAGTGGGATTCGGATGAGGAGAGGGGAGAGGGGGAGGGGGAACGGGAAGGAGAAGGGGAAGGGAGCCTAGTGATGGCGCAAGTGTCGCCGATGGTGGGGCTATCTCCCCCAATGCGCGCTTCCCCCCAGCAAAGCTGGTCCGCCTGGGGGAAGGATGAGGGGGACGATGACGAGGGGGAGGGGGAGGAGGAAGGGGAAGGGGAAGGGTTCCGGGGGAGATATGGCGAGGGGGGTGGAAGCGCTGGGGAGGTAGGGGAGGGGTTGGGGGAGGGGGGAGAGGTTATGAGGGGGCGAGGGGACTATGAAAACGAGCATGCATATGGCAGTGACAGTGACAATGATGGGGAGGAGGTGGAGGAGGAGGATCACATGCAGGTGCAGCAGCAGCAGCAGCAGGAGGATGAGGAGGAAGAGGAGAGTGATTCTAGAGAGGGGTGGAACAGAATGGAAGGTAGAGGAGTGGGGGATGAAGAGGAGGCAGGGATGTGGGGGAGGGGAGGAGAGGCGGAGGATGGGGAGGGGGAGGAGGAGGAAATGGAGGAGGATGATGGCATGGGAGAGAGTGAGATGGGTGGTGAAATGGAAGGGGAGGAGGAAGAAGAGGAGATGAGAGAGCAGGAGATGCGAGAGCGGGCGAATATGAGTGCTGAAGGAAGGCTCTGGGAGGAGGCAATCAAGGAAGGAGAGGAGGAAGAGGAGGAGGAAGAGGAGGAGGAAGAGGAAGAGGGTGTAGAGGTTATGGGGAGAGAGGAGGACGAGTGGGAAGAGGATGGAAGGGAGGAACAGGAGGAGGATGAAGGGAGGCGTGGAGGGGATGTATGGGAGGAGGGAGAGAGTGAGGAGGAGGCGGAGGAGGAAGAAGAGGAGGAGGAAGAGGAGGAAGAGGAGGAAGAGGAGGAAGAGGAGGACGTTAGCTTAGGTGATGGTGATGGTAACGAGGAGAGTGGCTTTGTTCCCCTGGCTATGGCGATGCCAAGTATGGACCTGGACGGCTTACCGTACGTGCATGAGGACGAGCATGAGGATACTGAGGAGGAAGAGGAGGAGGAGGAGGAGGGGGAGGAGGGGAATAGCGTGGAGGGAAGTGAGGAGAACGAGGATCCGTTTCATCGCCATCATACCCAGTACCAGCAGCACAGCCAACACCAGCAGCACCAGCAGCACCAGCAGCACCAGCAGCATCAGCTGCACCCGCTGCAACCGCTGCATGCGCACCATCCGAAGCAGCCGTCCATGGTTCCCACCAATGCTGCGATGGCTGGGAGCGGGAGCGAGTGCAGCGAGGGTGGGCGAGAGGAGAGCTTTCACGAGGAGGAGGAGGAAGAAAGTCAAGCAGATGGGCACAGTCAAGAGGAGGAGGAGGAGAGTGGAGAGATGGAGGAGAGCCGAGAAGTGGAGATCGAGCAACGGGAGGAGGATCGTAGTGAGGAAGGGAACCTGCAAGAGCAGGGCGATCACAGTGAGCAGGGCGAGAGCTCGTACGAGCATGACGAGGATCAGTATGAGGAAGAGGAGGAGGGGGAGAGGAGCGAAGGCAGTGAGGGCAGGGAGCAAGAGAGTCAGGAGTATGGCCGCAAGGAGGAGGGATATGGGCTCAGCCAGGAGCAGTATGGGCAGAGCCAGGAATACACTCAGAGCGGGGATTACAACCGGAGTGAGGAGTACAATCATAATCACGTGCAGCAGCACAGCCACAGCCACAGCCACAGCCAAGCGAGCAGTGGCTCTGACAATGTGCCCTTGGCGCTTCCCCCTGACATCCCTGCTCCCTCCCATGCTGTCTCCCATGCTCCCTCCCATGCACCACCGTCCCCATTCCCGGACACTCCCACGTCCATTGACTCGTCCTCTATTGCCCTCGCCATGCCAGCCAAACCCGTGCCCCCCAACCGCCCTCCCCTCTGCACTAATAACAGCAACGGCAGCAACGAATCACTTGACCTTGCTGCTGCTGCATCAGGTGCCGCAGCTGTTACAGCTGCTACAGCCGGTGGTGGTGGTGTTATGGCAGTCTCTGTGTTGCCAGGTGGCAAGCTGCCGCCGCGCCAGGTGTCCATGGTGGCATCGGAGAGTGAGGGTGATATGAGTGCAGCAACGTCGTCTGATGGTGACGTGGTGATGGCAGCACCTATGGCTACGATGGAGGTTGTGGAAGGAGACGAGGAGGATGAGGAGGAGGAGGAGGAGGAAGATGAAGATGAAGAGATTGATGATGATGGTAGTGACTTTGACATGCGTTCCCACAGTGAGTCGGAAGTTGGTGCGGGACTGGCCACTGATTCAGGCGCGTACATGAATGCGCAGCAGCAGGGTGGGCGCAGGAGCGAGGAGGACGAGAGGAGCGATGCAGAGAGTGATGCAGGAGAGGGAAGAGAAGGAGAGGAGGAGAGTGAGGAGGGAGAGGACAGGGAGAGTGAATCTGCGGTGCTTCTGTCTCCTGCCACCACCGCCACAACCGCTACTATGGCCACTGCTCTCTCCCCTAACGCCTCTGTCGCATCCTTTGCTGCTGCGTCGTCAATCATGGGAGGGGCTGGTGGCAGGGGTAGTTTTGATGCTGGTAGGGGTGCCAATGAGGCTGCCAGAAGAGGGGTTCAGGGGAGGGGGGTGGGAGGGGGAGGGCCTGAGGGCATGATGAGGGGATTGGCGGTTCGTCCCAGCTCTAAAGTGGCTGTGCAGCCAATCAGAGAGGCGCAATGGGAGGAGGATGAGGAGGAAGAGGAAGAAGAGGAAGAGGAGGAGGAGGAGGAGGAGAGTGGAGATGATGAGTGTGCACCTGTTGCTGCTCTGGTGGAGGGTGGCACGACTGGCAATGGAAGCAGGATTGCGAGCAGGAGTGGAAGCAGGAACGGGAGCAGGAGTGGCAGCAGGAATGGCAGCCGGAACGCCAGTCATCATCCCGCGGGTTTTAGAGACGGATGGGGAGGGGATTCGCTCGATGGGAGCATGGAGGATGAAGAGGAGGACGAGGACGAGGACGAGGAAAGTGATGAGGATGCAGTGAGAGGCAAGTATGCAAGAAAGGCAACGAGGGAGTATGAAGCTCCTTTGGCCATGCCTGTCACAGGAGGAGCAGGAGAGAAGGCCGCCAGGTCGAACCACCGGGCTGGCGGTGGTGGTGGTGGGGATGGCGACAGCAGTGCAGCGGGAGGGGATTTCATGAGTGAAGCCGATTCGGAGTTCGGGGTCCCGATAGCCATGCCTCTGGACGCAGAGGAGAAACGGAGAATCATCCGAGCAGCCTTACCCGTGCATAGTGAGGATGAGAGTGACTCAGAGGGGGATGGGAGGGGGCGTGGGGGGGAGGGGGATGACGATAGCGAGGAGAATGATTACCATGAGAGTGGGGACGAGGGGATTGCGACGGGTGATTTCACGAGTGAGTTTGCTCCTCCCATAGCCATGCCTCTGATTCACGGCACTGCTGTCGGTGACGATGATGATGACGGTGCGTACACAGAGGGAGACAGCGAGGAGGGTTCGGACAGCAATTTCAGCAGCCAGGAATTGGAAGACGAGGAGGACGAGGAGCAGGAGGAGGAGGAGGTGGGAGGAAGAGGAGTGAGAGCAGGCGGGAAAGGGAGAAGAAAGCCCCGCAGCAGGAATAGCAGCCGGCGGCACTGCGATTCCCTCAGCGATGCAAATAGTGAGCTGGGTGCGCCTATAGCCATGCCTGTTGCGTCTGACTACGAGAGCAGTCAGGGCGAGTGGGATCAAGGGGACCTTAGCCGGAGACACAGCCAGAATAGTACAGGGCTGGCGCAGCATCCGTCTTCCTCCTCCCGCATCCCTGTCGGCGGCAGCAGCAGGAAAACCGCCGGCTTGCCGCCTGCAGTCCCCCGGCCAAAAGGCACGGGGGGAGGAGGAGGAGCAGGGGGAGACGGGAGCCAGCTGCGGGCGCAGAAAGCCTTGCTGGATGCTCAGAACCCGTTCCGAGGAGGGGGCGGGCCGCCATCAGTTGCCTCGTCGCAGGATTACACAGTGGTGCATGGGAGCGGGAGGAGAGCGGTGGTGCCGCTGCGGTCGGCAACAGGGTCTGGGAGGAGTGCAAGTGGGCGGCAGTCTGAGGATGAGGGGTCCATGCATGGAGGGATGCTGTCATCGCGGCATGCCGGGCCTGCTAGGTGCGTGACGTTGCTGCTCTGCTGTATGGGTTGCCGTTCCCTGGTTTGCCATGCTTGCGTATCTGCTCTTACGCACGCACTCACGCACGCACTCCCCCCCCCCACACACACGCGCACGCTCGTGCACACGCACACTCACACACGAACACATGCACAGTCAACCACACCCTCATCTTCCTCCTGTATGCACCTTGCCGTTTCACCCCATTGTTCCCCTTCCCAGAACCTCCAGCATGCAATCCGACAGCTCTCCTTCGCTCGACCACAACAACACGCAGCGATCCAACCACTCGTCCGGACGAGGGGGCGCACGAGCAGACAGCATCGACGGGGACGGGAAGAGGAGGAGAAGTGGGAGGGCGGCCAGTGGGGACAGCTGGGCAGAGCAGAAAGGCAGGGAGGGAGGAAGAGGCGCCAAGGGGGCGGAGGGGGGGGAGGAGGATGAGGAGGATTATTCCGGGAAGGATTTGGAGGAGCCAAATGAGAAGCTGTGGGAGGAGGATGGGGGACTGCGGCGGATAGAGATGGACGAATCGAAGCGGCTCAGGGCTGTTTCTGCTGGCTCGTGCTTCCTGCAGTGCATGTTCAAGCGGCCTGCCACCAAGGACTGAGAAAGGCCGAGGGGAGCGTGAGCCGGGTCCTTCGTCGACTTACCGTAAAATTCACCCTAACAGGTCTGCGTCCTGCAGTGCATGTTCAAGCGGCATGCCACCAATAACTGAGAACGTTGTTGGCATAAAGGCCATGACCGATTTTCAGTCGGCTCAAAAGCCAATCTTACGGTAGGTCGACTGAACAGCCACCCTAACAGATGTACTTCCTGCGTGTTGGAAATACCTTGAAGGACTTAAGCGTTTCTGAAGTGTAACACTACACTCGAGGAAGATTGCAACGGGTACGCGAGTCAACGGAGGTTACACGGGGGGTTGGACAAAGAACGCAAAGGGACTCGAAGGGTCGCAACTGGAGGTTGCGACTGACCGTTACAACTGCACGAATGGTAACCGAAGCGACAATCGAGTCGCTGTGCGACTCGATAACCGCTCCTGCAACTGTATTCTACAACTGCTTTACTTTCCTATTTTCTATATATTGCTGTATGCTTGTTTCTTTAATCAATCACTTGTTCTCATATACTAGTACAAGGGTTCAAATACTCAAACTTCCGCTACACTACTCATGGTGTGTAGTGCAAGAAACAACAGGAAGAGCACCGGAAATGGTGACTCCATCACCCTCTTCAAGCGTGGATCCGAACCTTATGGAAAGGTTCTTCAGCTTCATGTCGCACTTCGACCAGCAGCAGCAGACAAGGACACCTGCGCATTCAACACAGAGCAACGGAGGAAACATGGGATTAGCGCCGATGAGCCTCGACAACTCATCGTTCGGGCGACACAATCAAGCGCCTACCTTTGCGCCTTATCACTCTTCACCGGGGACATTCGAGTTCATGCCGCCCCGTGCCCAACCAACAGCAGCTGCATCACAACAGACACCAAACGAGATTTTGAGTCTCCAGGCGCAGTTTTCACACGTAATCAAGTTACAGACATCCTCACCGTTCAACGGACACGACTTCTTTACCTGGAGCTTTGAGTTCGAGCTGCCGATGGAGGCTGCGCATCTCTTGGGATACTTCAACGGGTCCCTGCCATTCCCAAGCAACGGCACTGGAAAGGAGCAAGAAATTTTCACGTATCAGTCGCTGCTGGCGTATACAGTTCTCCTACGGAACCTGTCACCACAAGAACAGCAGAGCATCAGAACGTATCGGAGCTATGGAAACTCCGCGGAACTCGCATGGCATCATCTCAAGTGTCTCTATCAAGCAAACGACTGCGTGACACAAAGCAGACTCATGCAACAGCTGACAACAACACAGATGAAGACCGGGGAAAAGGCGATGCAGTATATGAGTTGATGCCAAACACTCCGCGACCGCCTGCTTCGGTGCGGAGGAACAATCACTGAAGAAAGCTTCGTTACGCTTGTCCTCGCCGGGCTCGGGCCAGAATGGAGAACCACACGCTCGCTTCTTCGCGCCCACGGAAGGATCTCGGAGATGCACCTCTGCGCCGAGCTTCATGCTGAACAACAGGAGATGGACCTGTTCGAAGAAAGACAACCAAGAAAGCAGCAGCAGTTAGTTTTCTACACTCAACGAAGGAACGACAACAACTACAATCGACGCGGCAAGCAAGATCAACGCGACAACAGAGGACTCACCATCGTGCCGCCGTTCTGCCACAAATGTCAAACATCCGGACATTCCAAAGTCAACTGCACACGTCCTCGTGTCTATCGTCCAGTAGACCCACAAGTCGCCTCCACTCAAGAAAGCCCTCCAAGACGTTCTTCCACATCTGCACAAGGGACACCGAACATCATCAACTGCATGGTACACATCGATAACTGCGCACCCGAATCACCACCCACTTACGCGCCAGACGAAGAAGAATTCCCGCCGCCGCGCTCGCAAGGACTTCAGGTCAACCCGACATACGCTGCGGTCGCCAACGCCGAACCCACCGGGCGAAACACCTGGTTCTTGGACAGCTGCTGCGGTCAACACATGTGTTCTTCCGGACGCTTCGTGCAACGAGAGCGACGCCTCAACCGCGACGTCATCATCACCGTCGCCAACAACGAGAACCTGAAAACAAACAGACAAGGGGTGGTTCAGTTACAGTCCATGGAAACTAATGTCATCCTTCAACTCAACAAGGTCTTAATCGTTGACAACTTGGGATACAATCTGCTAAGCGTCAGCCAGCTAATGGCAAAAGGGATTCACCTGGAGTGCGACTCGGACTCCAACGAGTTTCGCCTTTACCACAGGAAGGGCGGCCTCTTCATCTGTCGTGCTCTCCTGAAGTCCGGCGTCTTCGTGTTGGACTTCGTCCCCGACCGCGGTACTGCCGACAGCGATGGGATTGTGTCGTTCGCCGGCTGGACACACCCGCCGGATCTTGATCCCGACTTCAACCCCGATGGATTCTGGTACTCCAACACCATACCTGCAGCAGAGAGAACACGAGCATTAGCAGTCATCAGACAAGAAATACAAGTACCAGCAAGTGTCCCTTCCCAACCATCACCTGCAGTAGCAGCAGCAGGACCCAGCCGAGTACCACCACCAGCGATCCGAGGACCGCCAACCGAAGCAGATCAACTTATGCCCATCACACGAGAAGTCTGCCGAAGTTCCGCCACGGTCGTCGCGTTCTTCACCAACACCGACATGTACCAACGCTCGCCCGGCCATCGAGCTTCCGACGACATCTGGCACCAACGCCTTGGGCATCCTGCAAACAGCACCGTACTACAAACAATCCAAGCCGAAGTATTAGAACGAAACGCTCTTCTTACAACAAGCGGCCAAGAACTTCGAAGACCTCGCGCACGGTGCTTCACGTGCCCCGAAGCAGATCTTCCCCATCATCCCTTCCCATCACATCACAATCCAAGTGCGCCTGCATATGCGCCGATGGAAAAGGTTTACAGCGACATCTTAAACATGCCTCGAGACGACACGGAAGCCGACTTCAACTACGTCATCACTTTTATCGATGCAGCAACAAGATATGTTTGGCACTACAACCTCAAGACGCGAGATCAAGCCTTCGAAGCCTTCACGACGTGGCTCCCAATCGCTGAACGAGAATCAGGAACTACGCTCAAGAGTTTCCAATCCGACGGCGCACTAGAATACCAGTCACAACGATTCAGGACTTACTTGGCGGAGAGAGGAATCAGACGCCTGGTGTCTCTACCCTACGCTCACCAGCAACAGAGGGTCGCAGAAAGAACAAACCGGACCTTGCAGACGACGATGCGGAAGCTGCTCCTGGGGATGAGACTGCCCAACGCACTGTGGCCAGACGCGATGACCCATGCAGTCCACCTGCACAATTTGCTATCCTCGTCATCGCTCCCCAACAACGCATCACCGCACCTGCTGTGGACACGAAAAAGGGGCAGCACAAAATTACTTCGGGTTTTCGGTTGCATGGTACAGTACAGACCCCACACACCCAGAGTAGGACGTTTCACTCAACGAGCACGATGGGGGCTACACCTCGGCATCGCACAACATTTTCAAGCATGGAAAATCCTCGACATACAAGACAAAAATACCGTGGCATCACGTGATGTGATCTTCTACGAACGACTGACGCTGCAACATTACCTGGACAACGTCGCCAACACAGAAGACCCCACCGACGGTGTCGCAGGCCTTCGCTCCTTCGCTGACCGTGCTGCCGAAGCTGACGCAGCAGAAGAAGACGTACCTGGAGCTTCGGAAGCTGCCGGACCACTCCCTTACTGCTCCGTGCTAGTCCCACTCGACGACGACAATCCTCTCGATAGCAACAATCTCGACACCCTTTACCACTTCGCTGACCAAGGTTACCTTACACCTCACCCGGTCGACACGAACATCTCAGAACGCATCGGCCCAAACTTCTTACCTGATCCAGAAGATGGTGACGAAGCAGCCTATTCCGGGAATGAAAATTCCCCTCGACACACACCCACGGGACTGCAAATTATCGGCTTATGGGTCTCCGTCCAGCATCCACCGCCGCCATCTCCGCGCGAGCCCACGACTCTGTCACAGGCTCTGGGGGGGGAACATAAGGCGAAATGGAAGGAGGCGATGGAAAAGGAACTAAAGGCTCTGCAAGACCAAAATACATGGAAGGTGGTACCTGCAACAAGCATCAACGGGAAGAACGTCCTCTCGGGAAAGTGGGTGTACCGCATCAAGACCAATGCGGACGGTTCCATCGAACGATTCAAGGCTCGATGGGTCGTACGAGGGTTCGATCAACGATACGGAACCGACTACACAGAAACATTCGCCCGAGTCTCCCGTCACACCTCCTTGCGCATCCTACTCGCCGTCGCAGCCACGAAGAAACTACCACTGCGCCAAATCGACGTCGCAAATGCTTTCCTGTACGCACCTGTAGACGCTGAGATCTTTGTCGAGCAACCCCACGGATTCATCGACGACCCCACAAAAGTATGCCAGCTGATAAAATCCCTTTACGGGATCAAGCAAGCCCCGCGGCTCTGGCAGCAGCATCTTCACGGTCGCCTCGTAAAAACTGGATTCCTACAGCTGCCACATGACCAAGGCATGTACCGACTGCAGAAGGGAAGAGAGTATATCCTACTCATCGTTTACGTCGACGATCTGCTCTACATCGGTTCCACTACCGACATCGCCACCTGGTTCGAAGGGGAGCTGAAAGGGGACTTGACACTCACAGTGTCCGACACAGTGACCCAGTACCTGGGACTGAATGTCGTCGAAGACAACTCGGCGTTCTACCTACACGCTGGAAAATACGCAGGCACTGTCGCAAAGAAATTCGGTCTAACGCCGACTACGGTCCCGACTCCCTACCGCTACGGGAACAACAGCAGCACCTCCGCAAAACTCCCCGCGAAGCAAATCCAGGAGTATCAGCAGAAGCTCGGCTGCCTACTATTCGCAACAGTAACCTGCCGACCCGATCTATCTTATAGCGCGAGCCAACTGGCGACGCATCTGAAGCAGCCGGAACAAGAAGATCTCCAGGAACTTAATCGGGCACTACTCTACTTCGTCTCCACGCCGACGACCGGGCTTACCTACAGTAAAGTAACGGCATCGTCCGTACAACTACTCGGATACGTCGACACTGACCACGTGGGAGACAAGGGAAATCGACGATCGAGAACGGGCTACATCTACCGACTAGAACCTATCGGGACTATCTCCAGGCAGTCGAGCAAGCAGGAACTAATCGCACTATCTTCGGCTGAAGCAGAATATATCGCCCTCTGTACTGCGACCAAGGAAGGACTCTACCTACGAGAGTTGCTCGAGGAAGCGAAGATTGTGACCCTGCCCGTCTTCTCACTCCTCTGCGACAACCAATCTGCGATCAAAATCGCGAACAAGGACGGCTTCGCCAACTGAACCAAGCACATTGCCCTGCGGTACTTCTTCGTCAAGGATGAAATCGCGAAGGGGAGACTTCAACTCAGTTACTGCCCTACGACA